CCTTTAAAATTTAATAGGGAAATTTTTGAAAGTTTTTGTTTTGAAAAAAAAAAATTTCCCTTTTTGTTTTTTTTTTTTTTTTTTTTTTTTTTTTTTTTAAATTATTATTTATTTTATCACTTCAAATTGTTTACCAGTTGTGGATAGTCTGTTTAGGTTTAAATGTTTTTTGCAATAAATTACTTTTTTTGTCTCTTGCTCCTGTTTCTTGTTGCATTTTCAAGTTCAACCGGTATTCAGCAGATGTTTTGTTGAAGTTTTTAACAAAGTTATGTTTCCCACCTACTTCTGCCTACCTTCTATCTTGCTCCACCTACACGTCTAAACAGTTTGTTTCACATCTATTCATTACCTAGTGACGGATAAATAAGTCGCTCTGGTCGTCGTGCATCCTCCTTACTACTTTTTAAGGCATTCAACAAATCCATCTGCAGGTGAGAAAATCTAAAACATAGAGATTAAGGATTAAATGAACTGTAGTATCATTGATATACCTCAATAGTCTTGTGTTTTGCCTTCTTAATTTAAAAATACCTCTAGTATCTTTCTATCAAGAATTATTTATATATATGGATGCATCTCAGTAAATTAGAATATATATTCTGATGAGATTTATTTTTCAGATTAAAAGTATCTCTGAAGATAATCTTTAAGCAGATATTATAAATAATTATCATTGTGTATAACAGTTTCTCTTGAATTGAGATATGGAAAAAAATTAACTTTTCAATGACATTCAAATCCATTGAGATGCATCTCAGTTTTGCATGTCATCACTTAGCATAAAGCAAAAGCAAGTATATGTTTCTTACAACTATGATGCTATAATGCTGGCGTATGTGTCTCAGTCATTTTATGTCATTTTGAAAGAGCAATGGCCAGGAATTTGCTCTACAAATTAAATTCTATGTGGCAAAAAAGCTTTTCAGCCTGGAAAAACATTTGTAGTAGTTTTCCAACAGATCACAATGTAAAAACAGGAGGTCTTATCTTATAAAAATAGGTTGACAGGTTCAACAAGATCCACAATCTTGGACTGCTTTGGTTTTTTTTTCGTTTGCATTCCTTTTTATTATTAGCACTCACCACAATGTCGTGAATGTTCATTTCATTGCATTCACCACATTGTAATGACACTGACTCATCGCTTTACGCGTTGGCAGCAGCTTTTAACTCTTTCACAATAGAGAGTCGAAGTGTAATTCCAGGATATTTCGGGTAAAACAGATGCTTCGTGCTCAGCCAAAACACCTCGAGAGGCGAGATGCTGAGGTTATGGACATGCAGCAGCAAGGTGGTCGTTTCAGCTGGGTAATTCTAACCCTGCTTCTTGAACACTCTTTTGCAAAATCAGAACATCTAAACCTGGATTCACTCTGCATGCATCTCTGTTCCAAGGCATTCCTGATCGCCACTATTTACACTACAGGCAGCTCTGTGCAGCTGCGAACCCCAGGAGTGCTCCAAGAAGCATGTGTGAAAAAAGGGAGATCGCACAATGAAGCTAGTGAGAAGATGAATGTGTTGTCATGTAAAATATTGCAGTACTCACCTTCAAAAAAATTGCTCTTTCACTTTTCTGCCTTGGTTGAAGATCCTGTGGCGACTTGAGCAAGATAACTGACCAAACTTTTCTTTCAGTTAGAATTACTAAAATTATTTCTGTTTGCTATAAATGCCACTATAACGAGAGAAAATGCGACTGGTGCGCTCCAATCCATTTCTTTTTTATTTTTTTGAGAAAACAGCTTGTAAAGTTTCTCCTCAAACCTGCTTAGCAACTTGTTAGTTTTGACAGACTATTATTAACCTGACTCCCTGGCACTGATCGTCAACAGGTAGGCAACATGCGGGAAGGTGTGTAGACAAAAGCTCTTATAAGCCGGCTTTTGTCTTCCTCATCAGGCTGGAAATATATGTTTTTGTACATTTTCAGCTGTTGTCCATTTTACCAACAAGGATGTGAGCTTCTGACTTGTGAGCCTTTGTCTTGGAGTCGACTGTGAACCACGAACTGCATTGGAGAGAAACAGAGGCCATAACTTGATTTTGGTGACACCACAAGCATTATTTCCCCTGAAAGATATACACAATTTTTGTTTAGCATCTTCAGCTCAACTTGTTAGCTCACCAGGTCTTTCACAATGAACATATACTCATCTTTCTAAAAACTGACAAAATAGTCGTCACCATTACTAGTCAGTAAATCTACACCTGTAAAACTATTTGCCCTTTTTATTCTTTCGTTTTTCTTTTGGTTTCAAATTCTTTCCTTTCTTTGTTGTCATTGCTGCAAGTTCTCCATTCATTCACATTGTGAATCCACCTCTAATGTGCCAGACAATGTTAAAAATGATTAAATTTGTAGAGGTCATCTCATCAGGGTTTTTTCTGTTTTTATAGCTCCACACGTTTAAGAACAGCACAACAAAATCATGAAAACAATAAAATAGAAGTGTGAAATAAATATTATCCCCAACAATAACAATTAATAAGAATAATAATAATGGTTTTCACCTTCCTTTGTGTGTTAAATAGACCTGTTTAGGCCTCATATAAATGCCTCATGAGGCTTTTCTGAGTGAGAGAGAAAGATACGCCCTCACATCGCTTCCTTTCCAGAATTTGCGCTCATGAGCAAAACAATACTTTTGCTCAGTCTCTTCCTTGTTGAATCAACACTGACCCTGTTTCATGTTTTTTTGAGGACAAAATCTTGTTTCAGTCAAATCTTCCACCCTGTACCTAATACTTTGACAGCTAACTCGCCATTACTACATCTACTCTGTGAGTCTTTTTCCTGCTGGCCCTCAGCATCCTTCAAATGCTGTATCTTGTTTCCCTTAATATCAGCCTTCTGCCTGCTCTTTGTCTTTTTAAACCCTCCCATATCGCTCAGTTTGATTTCAGAAGAGGCTGACATTTTTATTACAGCAACATTAAGTTTCCTCTTTCCATATTTAAAATGACTACAAGAAGACTCGGTGTGAACTGAGGGCAGCCAGCAGTAAACCATTCAGGATTGCCAGATATACAATGACATATAGATAGAAATCATTCTTTGGAACTGCTTTGACAAAAAATAACATAAAAATAAAAAGTCTGAATAGTTAAAATGTTAAATACATAATACATGTGACTGCCATTTGATTCTTCCTTTGTGCTTAGGTGCAGGAATTTGGTAAACAGGTTTGTCGTGTTCCATGTTGACGTAAATTTCTTTCATCACTTGATGCTTAGCACTGACTTAACAATGACGATAAAATCCTCTACAGTAGTTGAACTGTGAAAACTGTGGAAAGGAGGTATGTTGTTTGATGTTCAAAACATGCAGAAACATAGTTTAAAGATAACAGCCGCCAGTCCATCGCAGGGCAACACAGGGTCAGACAGGACAAACAACCATGCACACACACTCACACCTAGGGACAATTTAGAGAAACCAATTAACCTGACAGTCATGTTCTTGGACTGTGGGAGGAAGCCAGAGTACCAGGAGAGAACCCATGCATGCACAGAACCCACGCATGCAAACTCCATGCATAAAGACCAGGGGCTGGAAATTGAACCTAGAATCTTCCTTTCTTACAAACTGTGCCACTATTCAGGCCCAAAACAAGACTGATCTAATCAAAATAAGAAATAACACAGAATAGTGATTAAACTAAAATAACTAATAAAGGACTGAACCAAGGTCAAACAAAACATAGCTGATCTGGAATTAAGGAACACAGAAACAAAACCCCAACTAAAAAGAGTAAAATGACTGCACATGTTTTGTATGAATGTATTTTTATATTTAAAAAAATCCTGTTTTAACCTAGCCAAAAAGGAGATTTCTGGATATTATATCAGGCTTTTTAGACATCTGGTTACCGGATACCAGATGTTACCCCTCCCGAATAGGTCAAAGGTCACCTGTCACAAAAGTTTGATTGAAGGGAGTTTATTTACTTTTTCGTTTTTAACCTGACAGAAAACTTCTCATGCAATCTTTGGTCTTCTTATCTTTGGCAATTGACAAGCTTGGTGTCACATTTTGGTTCCTCACTTAGTCATCAGAGTAACGAATGGAGACGTGATATTTTGCAGCTTTAAAATCATGTTATTTTATTTCTTTTTACATTTGTGACAGATAAAATGGAAAAAGGTGAAGGACCTCCTCCAGATATTCCATATATTCCAGAGATCCCATATATTCCAGATATCCCAGATATTCAAGATATCCCAGATATTACAAATATTCCAGACATCGCAGATATTCCAGCGCCGCCATATCCTGGTCCGCCATTGGACTCAAGTGTGATCATCAATCAACCTACATCTGTTGATCAGCCAGTGACCCAGCCTGACGCTCAGCATTATCAGCAACCTGCTGACCAGCAAAATCTCCAGGCTGTTGCACCACAGAATCAACAACCTGTTGATCAGCAATATCCCCAGTCCGGTGTCCAGCAGTATCAGCAACCTGTTGATCAGCAATATCCCCAGTCCGGTGTCCAGCAGTATCAGCAATATCCC